AGGGTGGCTCGAGAGTACTGACCTCAGCGCCATCTTCACCATGGGCGGCACCGATGGCCTGGAGGCGCTCTTTTTCATCTTCAACCTCGCCCACTTGAACAGTGATAAGTTCGTATTTCAACACGCATTTGATGCGTGTTGAGATCGGCTTTTGATGGTTTCCCCAGCTAAATTGTGTCACAAGTCTCATAATCAGCTCAAGTCGTATTTTACCGAGCATTGGTTCATGTTTGGTATTTTTGGAATCAAAATCAGGGAATTTAAGCCCAACACCGGCATTTGAGAAGCAATCGGGATGAGTCGAGGCGCATTAGAGAGTGGACTGAGAGCTTAGGAGGTCAAAGGGAGGTTTACGATGAAGAATTGATGACAAAAGAGCTTTAAGATTGATCACGGGTTCGAACGGAAGCTTTTGGAGCAAGAAACGGAAGAAAACAAAGAAAAACAAGCCACGCACGTCATGCCTGCCAGGAAGGTATGTTGTGCGTGCGTGGCAGAAGGCCCCAGACGAAGGAAGAGATCGGGCACGCCGTGCGCGCCATCTAGGCACGTCGTGCCCGGAAGCTGGAACGGAGAGGAGCTACTGGAGGTCGGGCACGTCGTGCACGCCAGGGAGGCACGGAACATATTTTCACGTGTGTGCTCCGCAGGCACGGATGCCGGGCACGCTGTGCCTGGCCGCCGTGCCCACATCCGGAAGTCCTAAGTTGGCCCGAATTTCCCCCGTTTTCTATAAATAAAGCCCTAAACCCCTGTTTTCGGGTTACAAAGCTTGGAGAGAGGCCTAGGACGAGATTGTGTGTATTTTTCCGTTTTGTTCTTCAAGACCTTGGATTATTTGTAAGTTCTATCTTTTTAGTTAATGACAATTAATTCTTTTCACCTAATTCTGTTGATTCTTCGATTATGAATTGTGAGTAGTTTTAATTAGGGATTTAGGATTGATGAAGGGGTTACTCGTGAACTAGGGTTTATTTGTTGATGGATTAATTGCATTATCTTTATTTAATTTGCGTTTGAATAATTTAATTGATATCTCTTGTAACCTAGAACTGCAACTAGGATTATAATTACACATAGAATAAATTAAGAGAGATCTGTTTTATTGTAGGACACTTTCACACACACTTAAATACTTAATCGTTCGCTAAGAGATTAGTAACGGTTAAGGGGCCATACGCTCGCTCATTTTGGAAATAATTTGGATATCTGTCGCATGAGAGATTAGCCTGGTTGCCTAAATATTTGTACTCTACACTGCGAGAGCAGTTCGAACTTAGTATTGATTAACGTTGCTCAATTAAATAATTTTCATGTGATTAAGCCTGATCAGCCAGGAATCTGATTACCCCAAAATCAATCTATGTTCCCTTCCTTCATTAATTAGAAAGAACCAAGTTAATTTAATCATTTGCTTGCATTTTAATTTTCCAACCAATCAAATCTCGCACAATTGCATTTTATTTTATTTAGTTTAATCGCACAATTTAGTTAATTCCTGATTCTCCTTTTCCGCCCATGTGGAGAAGATACTCGCACTTTTACCCTTTACTGCTACATTTTTAAGTGCGAGAAAACTCACATCAAACAGCTACGACGAACTCCTCATCTTCCACCTGCTGCTCGAAGTCTTCGGCTTCGGTCCGGTGGTGGCTCTCAACCTCCTTGGCTAGCTTCGAGTCTCCCTGTAAGGACGGTTGAGGACGGAAGGACCTTTCCTCCATCCACGTCTCCGACTGGAGAGATGGTGACATGGAAATATCTTGGGGATCGCTCACGACAGACATACTCTCGGCTAGCCTTACACAAAACGGGTTCGAGCCAGACTTTTTATAAATTTTATGGCCATTACATTTGGGCGGGCCCGGCCCGGCCCGCAAAAACAGGACTAACCCCGTGTCCATGCCCGCCTGTAAGAGCGGGTGGTACTCCACCAGGCCTCCTGGGCCGGGGAAAAATTTAATTTTTTTCAAAATTGTACTCCCTCCGTTCCAAAAAGATTGGCCAAATTGACTTTTCTTGGTCAATGATGTTCAATTTTGACCAATGATATCTTTTAATAAAAATTATTTAAAATATGAAAATTATATGAGCATATTCTTTATTAAAAAATCTTTCATAAAAGTATAAAACTTGTAAATTTCACACAAATATAATACCTAAAATCATTGTCTAAACTTTAATATCATTGACCAAGAAAAGTCAAATTGGTCAATCTTTTTGGGACAGAGAGAGTTTAATTTTTTAATACTTTTTTTAAGTAATATTACAATATTTAAAAAGTTGTTAATACACTTATAATGTTCATAGGCCTTCAACACATACACAAAAAATAATTACCAAAAATAATAATAATGAGAAACTATGACTAAAATTTAAAATTCAAGTACAAAGTATTATCTTTAAGTACAAAAATAGATACTCCGTATTATATTGATTGATCTAGTTAAGAATTAAAAACTTAAATTTAAACACAATAAACTGTAGAATGTATAAAGATAATTTATTAAATATAAATATACCTGTGTAAATGTAAATAAATAAATAAATTAGTATAAATATAAATATATATGTATGATGTATATATATTAAATGTAGCGGGCAGGGCTTATCGACCCGGACGGGCCTACACCTTAACCCAATCCCGCCCATATGTTATTGAAGGCTCGGTCCAGTAGGTAGATATATATGCCCAAGCCCGCCCATTTGTGCGGGTCGGCTGAGCGGTCCGGGTGGCCCGGCCCATTTTTTTGCAGGTCTACTCTCGGCTAAGTTCTCGAGGGAGGAGCTACTAAGACATGAACCAGAAGACTAACACTAGATCTATGGCCTATGAAGCAAAATATACGGAAAGGGGCAAGAACAGAGGAAGAGTGACATTAGGAATCTGGCTTTGATCGACTAAGTGCTTTCTCTCTCTAGAAATTGGCAGAGCTTCGCTTCACAATTCAAAATCGTGCAAGGAAAGTGAGATCGGGCAAAGGGTATTTATAGGCGAGCCAACCGCGGTTAACCCCGGAACTTGGGCCTACGGTTAAAAGTCCGTCATCACGAACCGTCGCTTCAGCCTAATCAGGAAACGCCGCCAGAAAGCACTTGTCAACATCCACCACGTGCCGCTTTGGCCAACGGTAACATTCCAACGGTCACCTCACAAGACTTTCCGGCCTCAGCAGACATCCCTCACCGGCTACGAGAATACACAGCCCTCGGGTCATCACACTTGCAAACACCCCTTCAGCCCGAACGGGACTCCCCTCGGTAAAAAGTGAAAAAACTCCATAATATCACAAAAATCGAAAGCAATAGGAAAGCATTCGTAAATTTCAAAGAACTACTCCCTTTTTCATCGAGAAGCTCTCAACAAAGGGAGTGGGGGACTCCTGATGGAGTATATAGTCCGGGACCCCCAACCCACATACTCCTGCTGCTACAAATAGGCCCAACAGACACAGACAGCCCAAATACATCAGCCCAAGTATGATGCAACCCGCATCCCACAAGGAACCGCCTTCTGGACCAGGGCCGAAGGCCTCAAACTCAGGGACGTCCCCCCGTTTTGGTCCAACAATGCGCCTGGAAATTTTGTCTCATCACACTAGCCTTCAACCATACAACCTCCCCCTGGTACCGAAGGCCCCCGCTCTTGACAGAAGCCCATCTCTGTCTAGCGTCCAACCACTGCATTTAATGCTGTGCCACGTGCCAGCACCCGCACAACCGGGGGCTCTCCGCCATAGACTAGCTTACATGTGTACGTGCATTTAATGCACCTAGCATTTATGACGAGTATAAATAGCGTTCCTTGGATAGTTGTAGCAGACCAATTGGTTATTTATTACTACCAAACTTCCCCCCTCTTACTCATTGCCCTGACTTTTCTCTAGATACCACTAGCGGTATCTCGGTATAGATTATCTATCAATATTAATATCAATAAATATATCATAATATAATTATATAACAATGGTTATTATAAATTATGGTGTATTTATATAATGATGTTTTTGTAAATATTTAGGTTTGATATTTCTTTAAAATACATGGATTAGAAATTGAAGAAATTTGATATGAGTTTAAAATTTAGCGTGGGGGTAAAATAAATCTAAAAATAAAACTTTTGTGAAATTATTTTAAAACGAACGTTTTAGTGAAAGACGATGAATGTCAATGAAACAAGGTAGGAACGTTGTTTTAGTAAAGACGATGAATGTCAATGAAACAAAATTTGAACTTATCACACTTATCATTTAATATTTTTATCAACCACATAATTCTTGATTTTTACGCTTAATAATATAATAAACAAAATCAAAATAAATAAGGTCGAAATTATTTTTCCAGCTCAAGGTTGGAGTTATTTTTCCTAACTCATATTTTCATATTATTTTTCTTATTTATCTTAATAAAATATATTTTAAATACTATCCTCCGTTCCATAAAAGTTACAACAGTTTGACTTTCACGTTTGCCAACGCGCAACTTTGACTGTAATTATATTTATTTACGTATTAGTAAATATTAAAAAAAGTTAATATATTGGAAATTTACACTAATACCAATTTACTAATATTTTATACATAATATTTTTATTATATATATTATTAGAAAATCATAGTCAAAGTAAGGTGTGTGAATAGTGCATAAATTCCAATGTTGCAACTTTTATGGAACGGAGGAAGTATAATTTTTCTATAATTCAGCAGATTCAGCTAATTGAGACAGAATTTGTAGATCGAACCAATTTAACCTAATTTCTCTAAAAAACCAGAACATACTATTCCTTCTTTGCCCATCAATACCTTTCTTAATATATTCTTCCGTCGGTCAAATTTAATTTCAATTTTTAGTTTTATATATCATTTTTCTTTATTGAATATAAATTCAGTTTTTACCATTCGATGGAAGGATTTTGTTTAGGATTATCATTACAAATATAAACATTTTTTTAAAAAAATCAGCTTTTTATATAAATATTTTTAAGATTATAAAGGGAGGGGACTAAATGTAACTCAATGAGCTGGACGGGAGACAGAGAACATTTTGCCCATCGATATACTACGTATAATTCATTGAAATCCATAAAGACCACAGTATAAGTCATACACTCACACGCACTCTTAGACCCACATGGTAAAACATGTTAGTGGGTGTTTCTATGATTGATGTATTGATCTTTTTTGCCTTTTGGGTCTCTCAAGAATTCAACCAAGTGGCCGTCACCTTGTTTCATAGCTTATTTCAAGCAAGTCGGGGGACAAAGATTCACCATTTCAGCTGCCGGGGTTTCCCCAGGAAAACACAAAGTTTGCATCTTTCTGGCTGAGCTCTTCTGTTCCAGAGCAGTGGCTGTTCTTGTGCACTCTTTATCCTATACTGATAGAAAGCTTCAATCTTGGTGTACTGTTTCAAGGTACAGTTCTCCTTAGGTTATGAAATTCCGTTTCATATGATGGAACTAAGTAGATAATTATGAACCCCTTAATCTTCTGGCAGTTCTGGCTTTGGGATGTAGTTTGGTATTCTCTGAGGAATTGAACTGATATAATAAGTGTGATTATAGTTCGCTCTTGGCTTTGATTCAGTCAAACCTTTTAACTTATGGTGGTGGGAATTTTCTGGTATTAATTTTTTCTTAAAATTAAAATAAAATTTATGGATCATCACAATAAAAATAATAATACTAATAATAGTAATGGAAAACAGGCTAGTTTCTGCGTAGTGATGGAGAAACAGGCCAGTTTCAGAAATGGAGTAATGTTGATGGAAAAACAGAGAAGTTTTAAAGGGCTGATGGAAAAGCAGAAAAGTTTCAGGATAGCAGCAGCTATGGAGAAGCAGAAAAGTTTCAAAAGGGGAAAGGATTCCCCTGGGAAGCGAGGTGATAACCCTCTTCACCTCGCGGCACGAGGGGGGAATCTGAATAAGGTGAGAGATATTATGCAGAAGTTTGAGGGTAAGTCCTTGAAGGATTTTCTGTCAAAGCAGAACCAAGAAGGGGAGACGGCTCTTTATGTTTCTGCTGAAAATGGGCATACCTCAGTTGTAGGAGAGTTACTGAAGCAGTTAGACCTTGAAACCGCATCTGTCGTCTCCAACAATGGATATGATGCTTTCCATGTTGCAGCCAAGCAGGGCCATCTTGGTCAGTCTTCTGCTTCATTTCTCATTGTCTCTGATATTGTAGTTGTTTTTCTTATTCATTGATCTTTCTTTTCATTGTTTAAGTTTAGTTTGTGTTTTATGTTAAGGATATGTGAATACTCAACTTGGCTTATGTTAATTGGATATCCCGTGGTTACGATTTTCTAGGAAGAAAAACTTCATGTGGATCTAAGTTTTAGAATAAAGTTGGAGGTATGTAATATGCTGGACGATAGGTTGGACGGTGGGGATAATTGTACATATTTACCCCCAATGGATAAAGTATATATTTAATTTGTTGGGGGCAGCTATGTACCCAGTTAACCACATTCCCTAACCCCAACCTGCTCAAGAAGTTTATGATAACATCTATTTTAACCAAATAATCAAAAGCCACAGTAGCCACTTAGAGCCCGTTTGATATAGAGTTATTTGGCTGAACTGATTGAATCATGACTGAATATGCTATGTTTTCTGAAAGAGAGTTAGCCAGTTAGGCACACAACATTTTACCAAAATTAAAAGTTCCTTATTTCCTGTTTGGTAAGTCTTATTTGGCTGAAATCGTATGGCTCAATAAATTCATGAAACTTTTGAAAGAAAAAGCTACCTATTTTGATTGTTATGAGAAGAAGCGAAATATGCTGCATTTACAATTCCACCTCGTACTACACTTCACTAGTGGGCCACATGTCAGGATAGTCTAACAGTTGGAACACCAGTTGGATGAATACCTTGTGAGATGCTGAATATATTTTGTAATGCCCGTCTGAAATTGCAGAAGTGCTGAAGGAACTCTTGAATGTTTTCCCCAACTTAGTGATGACAACAGACTCGACCAATTCCACTGCTCTACACACAGCAGCCGGTCAAGGGCATGTTGAAGTGGTCAGTTTGCTTCTTGAAATTGACTCAAACCTTGCTAAGATAGCTCGCAACAATGGCAAGACTGTTCTCCACACAGCAGCAAGGATGGGTCACTTGGAAGTGGTGAAGCTGCTTCTGAACAAGGACCCCAGTATTGGGTCTAGGATGGACAAGAAGGGACAAACGGCCTTGCACATGGCTGTGAAGGGTCATAATGTGGATATTGTGCTTGAATTGATCAAACCAGATCCAACTGTAATAGCTTTAGAGGATAAACAGGGAAACACTGCACTCCATATCGCAACTAGGAAGGGACGGGCTCAGGTATTTTATCATATTCTGAATATAATTGTTATTCTCTTTTTCTTCTTCACCTTTAGGAGTAAGCATAATTATATACAGTTAAGGTCTACAATAAACACACACGCACAGTGCTATTTCTGTGGGGCAGTTGTCCAGGCCAGCATCAAATATGGCTATTAACTAAGTTCAATTGTTAGATCATCAATTTCAACGAAAATAGACCCCAGAAGCTCACTTCCTCTATTTTAAAAATTATCTAATTGCTAAAATTATTTAATCATTAGAAATGGGTTTATCTTTGGTAAAATTGAGTTTTTTACATAATCTATTAGATGAATTAAATAATTGATGCCAATGAGCCCAAAATTTTGGACCGTTTAATTTTAAATCCAAAATAAAAGTATGACCATAGGATGTCAAGCGTGCCTGACTTATAGATAACATCAATTTTAACCAAATAATCAAAATTCAAAAGCCACAGTAGCCACTTAGAGCCCGTTTGGTATAGAGTTATTTGGCTGAACTGATTGAATCGTGACTGATTAAATGGTAGCAAATCAGCTGTTGATCTTCCCTAGTTATTAACATATTATGTCATTAGTTATATTCTTCACATGTAGCCTACAAGTCCCAGAATTTTGGGCCAGGATGAAGATCTTTGGGTCAGGCTTGACCATAGATTAAGAGTCAAACACTGAGGCATGTTAAAAAGGAACTTCTCTTCGGCGACAAGTTTCATCTTTCTAAAATAAAACATTGTTGTTTGCTTGCATGACAGATTGTTAAGTGCTTAATATCGATTGAAGGCATCAACATAAATGCAGTCAACAAGGCTGGAGAAACCGCTCTCGACACTGCAGAAAAATTTGGAACCCCAGGCATCGCGGCAATGTTAAAAGAGGCGGGAGCCACTCGTTCCAAGGACCACATAAAGCCTCCTCCAAGTGCCGCAAAGCAACTCAAACAAACTGTTAGTGATATAAAGCATGACGTACAATCGCAACTTCAACAGAGCCGTCAGACTGGGTTCCGTGTGAGGAAAATAGCAAAGAAGGTGAAGAAGCTCCACATCAGTGGCCTTAACAATGCCATCAACTCCCTTACAGTCGTTGCTGTCCTCATTGCAACCGTTGCTTTTGCTGCAATCTTCACCGTTCCGGGGCAATACGTTGAGAAGGAGAAGAAAGGGTTTTCTCTTGGGCAGGCAAATGTGGCGAACAAGGCGGCTTTCATTGTCTTCTTCTTGTTCGACAGCCTGGCATTGTTCATCTCCATAGCCGTTGTGGTCGTGCAAACGTCTGTGGTTGTGATTGAACAGAAGGCGAAGAGGCAGATGGTGTTCATAATAAACAAGCTCATGTGGGCGGCTTGTCTCTTCATATCGATCGCATTCATCTCACTCACATATGTGGTGGTTGGGGTTAGGGAGCAATGGCTCGCCGTATATTCGACTGTTGTGGGGGGAGTGATAATGTTGACAACGATTGGGTCCATGTGCTACTGTGTGATTCGACATAGGTTGGAGGAGTCGAGGATGCGGAATATAAGGAGGACTGAAACGATGTCTCATTCCTTCTCATTGTCCATGCCGGCAGTGGCATCGGATCCGGAGCTTTATAATGAGAACTACAAGAGGATGTATGCTGTGTAGATGAATCAGATTGAATTGAAAAGTATAGAAAGAACCAAATGTGACCATGTGGGGTTGTTTTATTCATTCAGCATGGACCTCCAACTGGTTCATGCATAAACAGGGTGTTGGCTGGGGAAAAGCTGGCCACATGGTTAGCTGCAATGGGTAAATACCAGGTTTCTATTTGTAGTAACAAGAAGGTTGGTTGGTGCTGCCATATGTTGTGATATTTTTTAGATAAAGATGTAGAACGACAAAAAAATAGCTGATGCAATTAATAATAATATCTTATACGGCCATATGTTAAATTCTTGCCCGTTTGTAGCAACCTGAAAAATCTCAAGAGATTTGATGATTACTTCTCTTATATATATATATATATATAAAGAGAGAGAGAGGGGGGGGGGGGGGGGGGGGGGGGGGACAACTATTCTCATGAGGCTGGCCTCTGGCCTGATGAGAAGCCTGTTAAGCCAACTTCATTTTTGCCAAAAATAAACTCAATGATCTAATTTTGTTTGCTCGTTACTACTTACTACTATTCTCGGCGATTATTTCGACTTTTAAATCATTAAAAAAATTGAATTTTACGTTAGCTTTATTCCATTTTTTATGATATATATTAATCTTAACGGAGTTTGTAGGGTATCTTCAAACTATTAAATTTAAGATGTAATGGTTTAAATAATTAGTTAATAGTTAATACGTAGTAGTAATCAGTAAAAAAGTTGGATCCTTGAATTTTTTAATATGAAAATATGTTTTTCCATCATTTGCAATGGAGCTAAAAATTCACTACTTTTCGACTTGAGAATATGATAGAGTAAAGCAAAATGACCCACTAAATTGTTTGCGTTTTTTGTTATGAAGCAACAGTTAATTCATACAATTTCGACGCGATTTTCACCATGGGTCATCCGAAAACAGTGTCTTTGTGCTTTAGTACAGGGGTTAGGCTACGTATATCTGACCCCCTACCCCACCGTAGGTGGGAGCCTTTGCGGCACTGGAGTGATGACGATGATGATGGTAAAAATTATGTTGACGTGATAAGTTCTTTTCAAGCGGGTCTGATTAGAATAATAATTCTCTCTCTCTCTACATATACATAGAGAGATGTTAGTCTGGTATCTTCAGCACTTGGGGATTATGCTCAAAGAGAACGAAATATCGAGGAAGAAAATAAGAACATATGAATGATATGAACCCCCTTGTATCAATAACCAGCCTGTAAGAAAGACCTCAAGATTAATACAACAACTAGATTACAAAAATAATCCCCCTCAACAGGGCTCACAGTTCTATCGATGTACACATGTCCTCTAATTCAACAAGTCTCACAGTTTCTTCTATCAATGTTGCTATTATGCTGTTCAATTGTTATTGCTCTGAATACAAATCTAACCCTTTCCCCAGAGGGGGTGGTATCTATACAGCAACACTTGTCCTTCCTCTGCACTGCATGTCCTCTGACAAGTCTACCTAGTGCTTCCATTGGTGTGATCCCCTAGGCCAACTGTCCATGTACTGCCTGCGCTGCAGGTGCTAGTGCTGGGGTTGACATCTCCTGGACGACATGGATAGCTGGACGGAGGCCCACTTTGACATCTTAAGCCAGACCTGCATTCATTTTGGGCTGAGCGTCTGACCTTGGTGTGCAAAGTGCAAACAGTCACTATCCTGCCGCTGCTTGTGGGGTTGCTTTCCTCCTTGACCGTCCGGCCCTTCATCCCGGGCACATGTGGAAATTGTTGGGCCAAGTACCCAACAACCATGGGCAGAAGTAGGGGGGCATACTAGGCCCCAGCCCAGCCCAAATTAAAAAAGTTAAAATATTAGTGTAAAAAATCTTTGTACCGGCCCAACCCATTTGAGCCCTTGGCTGTGCCACTGCCAACTCACATACAGAGAGAGAGTAAACAACCAATGTGGGATACTCAACATAATGCATTCCCAAAAAAATATGTTAGTCTGTTGATGTCAACCATGAGAGTGTTTCCATTAACTGGCAAAAGAAACAGATTACCAGTAATCCCCACAAGAGCACAGTGCACCTTTGAAATGATGGAATCTATTTGAATCCCTGACAATAATCTCCCTACCTTCAATCTTGGATATTAGCTTAATCACCGTGTGACAGTCACCACACACTCTGAGATTCTTAACAATCTGGATGGGAATGCCAGGAGACGTGGCAATCAACCCGAAGGCAATAGCCAACCTTTCACTGTGACGTGAAAGAATCGCTGCTTTGTGCTCATCTTCCACATCATGAAGTACGTAACTCGTATCCGGTTCGTATCCGGCTTCCCTTAACCGGAAGCTCAACTCTTCAAGTTTCATATGTATACTATTTGACAAGGGATGGTTACCATCACCTGCTGTGAATGTGTACGTCTTGTTTTTTATCTCAATCCAACTGTACCCAGTTTCTTTCTTGACTCCTCTTTCTTCCATCATCTTTCTCACTCTATCCCTTTCTTGCCAGTTCCCACTCGCAGCATATAGATTGGAGAGCAACACATATGCTGCAGAGTCCTGAGGATGAAGGGATATTAGCTTATCAGCTGCAAGTTTCCCTAACTCCATGTTCCGTTGGACCCGACATGCTGCTAAAATGGTACGCCACACCGTAGCGCTGGCTGGGAAGGGCATCCGGTCGATTAGAGACGTGGCTTTCTCCATCTTTCCAGCTCGGCTGTACAGATCCACCATGCATGAGTAGATTTCCATAGATGGGGGGATTTGCAGGTCTTTTACCATAAAGTCAAAATACTTCTCACCTTCACTAACTAGACCTGTATGGGTACATGCAGAAATGACACCAATGAATGTTACGACGTCCATTTCCATGTTCTTGCTCCTCATTTCTTCAAATATCTGCAACGCTTTTGGTGCATAACCATGGTGTGCATATCCTGTGATCATAGAGTTCCATGATACCAAGTCTCTGTCCTTCTGCCTTTGGAAAACCACATTTGCGCTTTCTATACTACCTTTTTTGGCGTACATGGTGACGAGGGCGCAACTCACGCACAGAGCATTATTGTATCCAAATTTAATTGAAGACCCATGAAACTGCTTTCCTTGTTCCACAGCAGATGCTGACGTAACGCATGCGTTAATGACACTAGAGAAGGTAAACTCGTTTGGGAGTACCCCTTCCTTTGCCAATTGGCTGAACACTTTTACAGCCCTCTCGGTATCTCCATCTTGGGCATAACCAGCTACCATTGCAGACCAAGCAACTATGTCCTTCTCATGAATTGTTTCAAACACTTTTGAAGCATCATGAATACACCCTGTCTTAACATATGCATCTAACAATGCGGTCCCTACTGTGGGTGAGTTTTCGTGATTGGTCTTGACAATCTCGCCATGTAATTGAGAGACACAGATCACAGGATAAGCTGAAAGGATGGTTGAATAGGTGAAATGGTTCGGTTTGACATTCTCCTTTCTCATTTGACAAAAAAGATTTGCTGCTTCCTCTGCTCTGCAATTATTCCTCAGGTACCCTCCAATAATTGCTGTCCAGGATATCACGTTCCTATTTATAGTGGAAGAAAACAATTTGAAGGCATCATCCATATCACCACACTTAGTGTAACACCCCATCAGAGCCGTTCTGATATTTTCAACCGATCCGAATTCACTCTTCATAACCCAACAGTGAATTTGTCTTGCTAGATCAGATTCTTTAAGGTTCGAGCATAATTTAATAATTGCAAGGTAAGTGGCCCGAGTCTGCTTGACAGGTGAGACCCTCATCCAGTGGAACAATTCAAGAGCTTCAAAATCATGCCTGTTACTCACAAGGCCAGTAATCATGGCATTCCATGAAACTTCACTCCGAAACTCCATCTTGCCAAACACAGCCTTAGCCTCTTCAACCATCCCTGACCTCGAATATAAACTAATTAGTGAATTTCCCACAAACAACGTTGCATCAAAACCACACTTGATAGCCAATGCATGAAGTTGAAACCCCTTTTCAGGGATGTCATCACCTGCCAAAGCTCCAAAGACTGTCGCAAAGGTAAAGGAGTTGGGCTTAATCCCTTCCATTTGCATCGTTTTGAAAGCTTGTAGTGATATATCAATCAACCCATTGCTGGAGTAACCAGCAATCAAAGTAGTCCATGTTACAACGTTCGTCCCGCCCATCTCATCAAACACTCTCTCCCCATCAATGATACTCCCCGTCTTCATGTACATGTCTATAAGTGATGTCCCTACACTGACATCCTCCAGAAACCCACTTTTCGTACAGTGGCAGTGAGCTTGTTTTCCCAAAAATTGGTTAGACAAGCAACCGCAAGATTTAAGCACACAAGAAAGGCTGCACTCGTTTATCAAGCAACCAAAGCGATGGATATTGGTAAACAGATTTAGAACCTCTGCATTCATATTACTGATCGAGTACTCAAATAGCAGGGGATTTTTATCATCTTGGTCTCTTTTAGGCTTTTTATCAAACGGGTGGCGCGCATCTTGAAAATTGTAGATTTTGCCATCTACGCAGATGGCACGAGACTGAAAAAAATGGTGTCTTTGTAGCTGATTCTGAATGTTCTGATTTGAATGTTTCAGTATTCTTAAATATAGTCTTCGAACCATGACTGTGATCGAGATACAATTCTACAAAAGTGTGAAATTTAAATTCGAGACGAAAGGAACGGAGAACGTGGACAGCGGGTCGGGTTGTCACAGACCCGCGGTTATTTAATCCGCAAGAACCGAGAAGTACAATAGTTCATGAAGTATCAAATGATGTGACGTTACATACTACTGTGGGATGTTTTTACTTGGTCGCTAATTTGCTGGTCTGATCTGGTTTGATCTGGTTTGGTCTGGTTTCTTTGTATTTTTATAACTATCCAAGTCTGGTCTGGTCTGGTTTGAACTGGTCTGGTCTGGTCTGGTTTGGTCTGATCTGGTCTGGTCTGGTCTGGTCTGGTCTTGTCTGGTCTGGGACGAATTACAGTCCAAAACATATTCGCTATTTAAGTACAGTAATTGAGGTTCGTCCAAAAAAAAGTAAAGTAATTGAGCAGTTAGACTCATTGTTTTCATTGAAATCAATATTTTATTTCTTATTATCCGTATTAGACAAGTTACATTTCGACATGCTTGCAATTACATTTTTTATCAGCGTGAGTTACATTTCGTTACACGCGATTTACATCATTCTGCTCCTGGAGAATGAAAAAAAGTTACTGTTCACGCGCGTGAACAGTAATACACAAATTTTTCAGGTGGGAGCATCATGCTCACAGTGAGCTGCTCCCACGGTATAGCAACTGGCTATAGTGTATAATCCATATGAAATTTCGGAGAAATTTCCTAGGTTTCTGTGAAACTCTCTCCATCTTTTATATGAAAAAGGTTAGGTTAGTTTTTTTTTGAAATTTTATCCATCCAAAACTTGTAAGATAGGTGAAATTTTTCGCTTAACATATGTGAGTTTCAAAGCAATTAATGGCCTTAGAGATCTCAATTCTCCCGAATTTCCGATCATAGCTAAATAGATAACTCAAGACTCTCACTTACACAAACAATCTGAAAATAAAGTAAATAATCCATCGAAATAAAAATAAAAATTGAAGTAAAACTAAAGCAAATTAAACCTTTGCCACTCATTCACTTCATGACGGCAGTGCAATAGTAGGTCGGGTCTTCAACACTCCATCTTGTTCCTCCAAAACCAAAAGATCGTAGACCAAAATAGATGATGTTGGTAGAAAATAGCTTGAGAGAGAAAAAGGCATCACTTCGGTATAGTAGAAGTAACGTAGAGAATACATGGGGGGTTGATGACCTATTTATAGGCATCCATCATAAGCCCAAAATCTAATCTACATGGGCTTGGCCCAAATTAATAATACATCTCCCAGCTAATGGGCGAATCGGCCCGATAAATAAGTAAATGAGCAAGGGGCGATTCCCGCTCATGAGACCGCATCCTGGACCTAGTTGGGCCTAAGCTCGGGGATATCGGGCCGATGGCACTGGGTCTGGCCCATTATCCCAACACGAGTCCCCCACTCCCTTAGTCGAGTAGTAGACTCGGCTAAAAGGGAGTAATTGAGCTACTTTGAAATCGGCCCGGTTGCCAAGACATCCAGTTAACTACATAGATGTGCATTGATAATGACGATTTGCGGTGTGCCCGGAAAGGTCAGTCAGGTAAGTATCCATTATGGTCCCATTGTCTATGCAAGGATGAGACCCTCCTTGTCTGGGTGGCAGCCCAAGGTCCTGGTCATCTGATCACCAGCCCGAGGTCTTCTTTGCTCGAGCCGGGAAGACCTCTTCCTCTGTTTATGATAAAGGGATGCCTCGTTAAAACCTTACTAGAAAAAAACCCGATGGGAAAAAATCTTAGTGAAGGAAAAAGAGTACACCGGTGCCTCAAAATAAACAAAGGAAGGTTAGCTCCCCGGGTCTTGATCGGCCATTCTACTTTGATCCCTACTGCTTGCGAAAGGAACGGGGGTCTCGCTGCCCGGTCAACTCGGGCCAACGGTCTTCAAATTTGGGCTCCGATATTCACATGTTACAATGTTTCCATTCTTCTACAAGATATCACATTATTTCCTTCCTAATTGGAATCAAGCCTTCAATTGCAATCCTTCCTGGGTTCCAGGATATCACGTTATTTCCTTCCTAATAGGAATCAATTGCCTATTTTTATTTAAAGTAGGCATTTCAAAATAGGCATTGGCCCACGTGCAACACCCATAGCGTATTCCAAAAAAAGAAACTCGCACCCAGTCGCCGCATATTCACCCAAAAGCTCCGTCAATATCTTCATTAATGGCGCCGTCGCTACCTCCCAACTCCAGCCGCCGGAGAAGATCCAGCATCTCGCTGCCAAGGTCACCTGTGAAGAGGGCCCGAACTTCGAGCAGGTCACCACCTCCATCTTCCGACTTGCACTGCCAGAAAATCTCGCATGGTTCTAGCCCCCGCCCTGCTCGTGTTCAGAAATCGTCTGGCGCAGCTACGCACGATCGAAATACCAGGGCTTCGTCGTCCTCACCTGTCCGCCTCGGCCATGTTGATCCTATACTCGGTCGTGCTCCCGGAAGGCAGAATTTTGAAAATCACGATAGTAGAAACCTCCCCAAGTCCGGCGGCCATTCTCCGTCCCAAAGGAAGGAACTGCAGCTGCGCTCGTCTGGCGGCGGAGGTGAACCACAGGGTGGTCGGCGAAACTCAAGTGATGGGAAGGCCAAGCCAACGAAGCTGCTCCCTGACAAAGGTGATGCCCACTCCGAGGTGGGTCACTCGCACGTGGAAGTTGACGGGAACCATTCTACGAAGCACATGGATCTTGGAGTTGGACTGAGTAATGGTGCGGCTATGCCTGCGAGTGAAGATGCACGATCTGTTGGCCCGCATGGGGAACCCGAGCCCGGAGCTAAGGTTGGAAGTTTACCTGCAAAATCATTTGCATCTGGGAACCCCGTAGACGGGATCCAAGGGTCCTTCAATAATACTGATGATAGACGGGAGCTCATTACGTCTTCCAGGTCAGGCGATCCTCTGAGGCGGATTGTTATTTTAGGGGCACATCTACGTTCTGCTTCGGAAGGTTCCCGGGGCAGTCCTGGGCAGCCACCCCTTCTTGCCCCTGTAGATGAGATTTCCCAGTCCGATGAAGATAATGCCTCCCAGGTGGCCGACGGATTGACATAGTCAGATAGTACCGGGGACCCAAATTATTTGAGGATTCTGCATGTCGACACGCTGGGACATCTACACTCTACCAGTACGGCAGAAGACCTGAAGTTGGTGGAGCGCTTAGTCGGTCGTGACTGTACCCTGGTGATTTCGGAGCGCAGTAGCAACCTCACCAATCCTCCTTCAAGCGCATTCTTCGGAGCTCATGTTGCGTCCGTAGAGTGGGGAATGCGAATCCCATTGCATCCCTTCCCGATACAGCTCCTTTCATATCTCAAGATAACGTCGAGCCAGTTAATTCCTGTTGCCCACATGTTCATAGCTGCCTTTATATCCCACTGTGGGAGTACGCCCATACTGCCGTCTTTGCCTCTGTTCCGCTACTGTTTTCGCTGGAGGCGCTCCACTTCTGATCTAGACGATAGTACAATTTTGTCGCTCCACCAAGCACACACTCATAAGTTGTTCAGCCCGCACCCCGACAACAATAAGAGGTGGCTGAGTAAATGGGTTTGGGCGTCCTCTCCTATTGCATCTCCCGTCACGTTCACCTGGGGCAGTTGGATGCGGATGTATGAAGCTGTCGACATCACGCCCGACCTCCAGAAAGAGATTGATGTCTTGTTTCAGGGGCCCCCTTTCCCGATCACTTCATATTTGGGTGAATTTCGTGCTCGGAAAATGTCTTATTTCTCTAAGTTATCCCTTCCTGCTCACTACTTTTTATTGGCTATCATAGATATGACAGGTAGAAGAGGCGCCCTTGCCGCTCTAGCTATAGCGCAAGATGTTTACCCTCAGTCTTCCTCACCTGGTGCCGGTCCGTCCAATGCCGTAGAAGAGCGTGCAGCTTCCACGCCTCGTGAACAGAGACTTGCCGGGAAGATCAAAGGTACGAACTGCTTCTTATTCCAAGTTAGGGAGGACAAATCGATCCGTGAAGTTCCATCTTACTTCGTTTTTCGTTTTTTGCAGATGCGGCCAGTCGAGACAAATGCGCAGCTTCCCTGCCTGCTGCCGGGGAGAAGCATGTTGCTCCCTTGCTTCACAAAGAATCACTTTCTAAAAGGAGCAAAGGTATGAGCCGCTCCTTAAGACGGGTAAGAGGAATATCCTTGTTAGCGGGTACCCGACTCACTCTGTTCATTTCCTTGCAGACATGGTAGGTCGTAGAAGCGAAGTTGCTGCCTTTGCTGCGATGAAAGATGCCAAATCTCGTGCTCCGACTTCTCACCCAGGTCCCGATGCCACCAAGGAGAAGCGCAGGTCTTCCTCTTTTGGTGGGGGCCGCCTGCTACCGGTAGGGTCTTTGCTCATCTCATTTATTTCTTTGCAGATGTGCCTGGTCAGAGGAGCGAACTTGATGATTTGGCCGCCAAGAAAGGTGCTAGACCTCGTTCCCCAGCACATGACCCAGGTCCGTTTAGCAATGAGGAGAAATGCGGGGCCTTCTTCTTCGTGTGAACAGCAAACCCTTAAGAAGAATAAGGGTCTTGAGCTACCCATTGTGCCGAGTAGAGTTGCAGAATCCAGTCGGAAGGCGTCCGGCTCGTTCGATACTCTTCCTGTCACTTGTTCCGGTCCTGTTCCTAGCATCTCACCAGTCATAGAAATGGAACCAGCGGCCACTCTGGTTCCTTCCTTGATATCCTCTAAGGGCCGGGAGTATTTGGCATCTATTAGTCTCTTTCCCTTAATTGAGCGCTCCACCCGGGCTTACACTGAGGTGGATCACCTTACTCTTGCCTTCGGTATTGTCCTGGCTCGCAAACCTCAAAAGATTTCTCATCATTGACTTACTTCTCTACAGGGACTGATGGATCTGGCTGCATTGCTCCGTGCTGCGAAAGATCAACATGCGGAGCTCTAGCGTTAGGCTGATGAAGCTTACCTCCAGGTCACCCAGGCTCGACAGCGAGCAGACGATGCAGAGGCAGATTTGAGGATACACGCGGCACGCAATGAACAAGGTAAGAGAGCCTTATCCGACCTTCAATCAAGGTTTGACCAGCTGGAGTCAAGGTACAACTAG